AAGGCTAGATTTGGAACCAAAATTTATTTTAAAAGCATAATTATACACCTTCTTTAAAACAGACATGCTATTAAATGACAAGTTCTCTCTTTTTTTTTTTTTTTTTTTTTGGTTCCCTTATGAAAGCTGATTTAAAATAATTACATTTAAATAATGTGCTGATCGTGATACAAAATTTAGCAGCCAAAGCCTGGGAGAGTTTTATTTGAAAATCATATATTGCATGCCATCATTAAGCATATATGGAGAAAGAGGGGGAGTAAACGTTGAAGGATCGTACCTCTTCGTCTTACACTGCAGGTTTGCCAAGAAAATGGCAGTCCTTGTATGTTAGCCAGCAGCATAAGCCAAATCCCATAGGCAAGCCATGTGTCAAGTGCCCGTTCTTATTCTGTCTTCCTTTTCAACAGTTAGTGAAGGTACTTTAAATGCATCTGGGCTTCTTTTAGGTAGCTAGTCCCCTAAACAGGATAAATTCTTCTAGACCATAAACTGTATTGATACTGATTTTTATTTCATGCTGGTGCCACAGAATTTCTGTATTTCACTTCCAAACTCTTGAGAACAATGGCACTGTGCAACACTTGGTTTTGCTGAATGATTACGGAATACTATCCAATTCGGATTTAATTTGTGAAGCCATCATTAACTTTTTAGTTTTTGTTTTTGTGTTGGTTTTTTTTTTTAAAGATTTCTTTCAATAAAATTGAAGTACATAGAAGAAGGAAAACAGAGATTTGACAGTTAGCTTCAGAAACTTGGGGGATAAGATTTGTTATGTAGTGTGTGGAAATGGGAAATTTAGCACAAAAATTGTATTGTGGAGATCAAGGAGTATTCTGGGAACTTTTTGGAAACACAAATACAGATACTTTCTGTACCTATCAAATCATCCTGTTCTTGTCATCCTTCTTCTTTCCTCCTTCATTCTCTGGATAATGATTCTACTCATTATGATGCTTACCCATAAAACCTCTTTGTTTGCAGAAGACATAGAAGTAGGCCTTTTGCAGGTGCAGCAGTATGTTATCCAGAATATTCATTAACAACGGAAAGGTGTTGTTACACTGGCTAAAATCAAAGATAACTACGCCAACCTACCTTCCTCATCCTCCATAATTCTGTGTTTTCAATTAATTTTCAGCACAATTTTCTTTGCAAGGAAGGAGTTGGGAGGAAAAAAAGAATGTTAAGATGCTGATATTTCTAGAATTTTTATGAAACTTAGAAGCTGAGGAAAGGAAAAATGCCACATGAAAATCCCCAGGGCTCTACTGCAAACTCTTAATCCGTTATCAGGCAAAGTGACTCTGCGTGGGGGGAAAGACAAAGCACAGCTTGGGGAGACGACTTCTGATGGGATAGTATCTTATCAGTTACCAAGGAATGCAGTCCTGCAACAGCAGGTTTCTTCAGTCCTTATGCTCGCAGAACTGCTCTCCTTAGTTTGCTGGTTCAGTTGGCAGAAGCAGTGAGGTTGGCAGCCGCCTTGTTTCAGTTCAATACCATGCAGCAGAGTACTGTTTTACAGCTTTAAAAAAGCCCAAAACAATTAGTAGAACTAGAGGGACTGCAACCACAGTCTTTAACGCAGGAATATCTGCTAATGCAATTAGTTAGAAAGCTCAAATTATGTTTCACAGAATTATAGCAAATTCCACTCCTTCCGCAGAGACTGAAGGGAAAAAGGTTTTTTGGAGTGAATGGTAATTCCTTAATGACTGGTTCAGTGAATAAGTACAGACTGCTGGGCACGGAGCCATTCATTGGAAGGGGAGCTCTTGGGTGATGTCAGCAGAGTTCCATATTTATGCAGTAATGTCTCAAGATAACGCCAATACAAAACAGAATGGTGTTTGATATTTAGGAGAAGATGCAGACAGGAAAACTTGGAAGTGTTAATAAATGTATGTTTGGTAACATTCTTTTTTGATCAGAATGTTGTTAGTGATGCCATATTGAGCCTATAGAAAATGAACCTTTAAAATCAAGTTCTCCGCAAGCACATTTTCCTATGGCTTTATAGCTTGTTTCATAGCTGAAATTAAATAAGCTTGAGATTTTTCATGGTGTTCTCGATGTTTTATGGAATGTTTCAAGATTCTCGATGTTTTATGGAATGTTTCAAGATTCAATCCTACAGAAGAGTATTCTGTGGAGTGCAGTTTGTACAGTCCAGGGAATTGCTTATGGAGTACAACATTGCTCATTTTGCCAGTCTTACAGCCCTATAGCTTGTTCCACTTCAGTCATAGCCTTCTCTGCTTATTCTGTTCCTGATGCACTGATACACAGCTCCCAAAGTAGCAAAAGAATGTTGTTCTCTGTGGTGTTTTTTCTATGCTAAAATGAAATAAATGTGTTGACAGGAAGGATAGCTATGACGACTTTGGACTGGTACTACACTAGTGGACAAAATCCAAGCCTGTACATTCATTACTTTCAGGTTTTGCACTTCCTTTTCTACAGGCCAGTTGCAGTAACAGGCATGAACAAATACAACCATGTAAATTTCCCTTAAAATCTTTTATCTTCTGATCTTGCTGGATGGTCTTCCTCAGTGAACAGGTCAGATTACTCTGCAGGTTTGTGCTGTTTTCGTACCTTATCACAACTGTTCTCACTGTTTCCCTTCACCTCTGCAAGTGGTATGTGTCGTTACTACATGGTTGATATATTTGGCATTGGGATGGCTGTACCTTGGGCAAAGAATAAATGGTAGACTTCTCATTTGCTTCAATATTCTTCCAGTGTTTCAGGAAAAGGGCACTTCATGGGAAGAAATGCATATGCTTTCGTGCTCATGAAAGCGTTTGTTTATTGAGGGGCACTGCACTGTTTTGTGTGTCAGGCAGGCTTTCAGTCAATGCTGCTATCTTTCCATTCCCTAAGTGTTTGCTGTTAGGTTTTGTGGGTTGTTGTTGGGTTTGGGTGTGGGTTTTTTGGGTTTGGGGTTTTTTTTGGTTGTTTGCTTTCTTTTTTTCAGAGCAGTTTCCTGTTGCAGAGTGGTTGATAATAGGAATAAATTTATCCTGTCAGGCATTCAGCATGGGACACCAAAGCTTGGTAGAAAGTCCGTCAGTCTTGCAGTGCTACTTGATAGAGTTATATTTAGACTAAATAATTTATGGTGTAGAACCCTTCTCTTGGCTTCTCAGACACATCGTATGCACACCCTCATACAGCTGACTGAAGCTGGGGAGCTGAGGACTGGAATGAAGATGAAGAATGTACAGGATTTCTGAAGTTATTCAGAATTGAGGGTGGGGATGGGTTGGCTTTTGTCTTTCATGTATCTATTTTTAAAATAAAAAGTGTTTATAAATAAGAAGAAAGAACCCTCATTTTTTGAAGAGAAAAAGCTGAATCTTTTGCTGCTGTTAATGTTTGTGATGACTTCAGGGTTGTCTGGATACATCAGGCTGTATCTAGAGAAGCGCGACCAGCGGGTCAGGGGAGCCCACTCCACTCTGCTCTCGTGAGTTCCCACCTGCAGTGCTGCATCCAGCTCTGGGGCCCCCAACATCAGAAGGATTTTGATGGGTTGGAGCGAGTCCAGAGGGCTGGAGCACCTCTGCTATGGGGACAGGCTGGGAGGGTTGGGGTTGTTCAGCCTGGAGAAGAGGAGGCTCCGTTGAGACCTTATAGCACCTTCCAGTACCTGAAGGGGCTACAAGGAAGCTGGGGGGGACTTTTTACAAGGGCCTGTAGTGACAGGACAAGGGGTAACAGGTTTGAATTGAAAGTAGAGAGATTTAGATTAGGTATCAGGAAACAATTCTTCCCAGAGAGAGTGGTGAAGCAATGAAACAGGTTGCCCAGAGAAGCTGTGGATGCCCCATCCCTGGAAGTGTTCAAGGCCAGGCTGGATGAGGCTTTGAGCAACCTGGTCTGGTGGAAGTTGTCCCTGCCCATGGCAGGGGGGTTGGAACTAGATCATCTTTAGGGTCCCTTCCAACCCAAACCATTCTATGATGTTCTGCGTCCAGCAACTGCAGTAGGAACTGATGTGTACACTCTGTACAAATGGGAAGTTTCAGCTACTTTAGCAATAATAGCTAAAGCTTCTCCCTGGAAGCAACTGTGCAGTGTTGCCCTTACCACACTGAATCTGGTTACTGTTTTATGAATTAGATCCATAGCAGATACTCCATCAGGGATGCAAATCTTTCTCTTACTGAGATGGAAACAGGAGTTTCCTTGTATCTTTGGCAGATCTCACATTAATGCACATCCTCACATCATTCCATAATATCATGAGAAATAATTATTCCCTAATGAAAATAAGTTCTGAGTTCATATCTAGCTTCCAGAGCACTGCTTTGTAACCTCTGCATTGTAGTTTAGCTATTCTGCTTGCTCTGTTAGCATGTCTCCACTCATTTCAGACTTTATGGTAGTGCATTTGGTTTGGTACAATTACCATGCCAAAATAAATGAGTTGAGTTTGAAGAGGTCTATATATAATGCCAAAACTAATCATACTAACAGAAAGGAAAATACACAGAACATAGCTGCATCTTTGTATGAGCAGAGTGTTCTGCATGCAAAAGCATTATCTATTTGTACTTTCTTACTCCTTACGCTCTGCTTTTTGTGCAGAAAAGAACTTTGTTCCACCCCCTACCTACCTCCTACTTCCCAGCTAATATTAAAAGCAGAGATAACTCTATAGAGAAATTATGTTGCTGAGGTCATTGCTTTTATAAAGTACTCACTAGCACTTTATGAAGTATGAAAAATGAAGTTTTTTTTAAATACTGTTGAATACAGATTGCATTACAAAAAAAAAAGGTGCGTGGATTTTATCTACTCTGTTTCTTCTCCGATTGCCCCAGTCTCAAAATTTGGAGAATCTTCTTTTGCTGCTTACTTCTTAGCCAATCTACTCTACCATGAGAACCCTCTGGTTCTTCTATTCCTGTTCTATAATGTCATCTGTTTTTTCTGGTGGTCTAAGTGGTGTTCTTCGGGTTTTTTTTTTTCTCCCATCCAGGTACTGCTATGTGGATATTTGTTAGCAATGACTGATGTGGAATCTACATATGCAGACTTTATTGCTTCGGGAAGAACAGGTAGAAGAAATGCGTTACATGACATACTTGTGTCCTCTCCGAGTGGGAACTCCAGTGAACTAGCCTTAAAGCTATCAGAGCTTGATATAAACAAAGCAGGTGAGTACATTTTTGCTTTTTTATTATATTTATTAAAACCGAAATGAACGGAGTAGTACACAAAACATGGTTTATGTACACAAATTATTTCCTTGTCCCTCAGTAATAAAAATAATTTTTTCTGATCAGCAGGGGTTGCCTGTAATAGAAGTTCAGATTTCATAATTGGGAAGTATGGTTATTTGCAAGTACTATATATTACAGAAAAAGAAAATCCATTCTGTAGTCAATGCCTAGTGGCAAGACCCATGTCAGGATAAATTTTACAGAAAATCAAGTAAAAGAAAGAAAATAAAGAAGTCTTTATTGAAACCTGACTCTCTAGAATATCCTGTAATAGAAGCTGTCTGGTTTGAAGCCTGTAGGAGAAGCTATGTGTCTGCTTGAAAGGTTATTCATAGAATCATAGAATGGTTTGGGTTGGAAGGGCCCTTAAAGACCATCTAGTTCCAACCCCCCTGCCATGGGCAGGGACACCTTCCACTAGACCAGGTTGCTCAAGCCTCATCCAGCCTGGCCTTGAACACTTCCAGGGATGGGGCATCCGCAGCTTCTCTGGGCAACCTATTCCAGTGTCTCACCACCCTCTCTGTGAAGAATTTCTTCCTGATATCTAATCTGAACCTCCCCGCTTTCAATTTAAACCCGTTACCCCTTGTCTTGTCACTACAGGCCCTTGTAAAAAGTCCCCCCCAGCTTCCTTGTAGGCTGAATTGTGGAGATTGATTTTTGTTTTCAGCTGCCAGAGGACAGAGCAAGAGCAACGCACTGTTGTTTGTTTTACTTGGATCTTTGTTTCTGGGTAGATTGCCTCTTTCCCCTTTCTGCTGTTACTTTGTCCTTTGAAGCTGATAAGCACTAATGCAATCCTAAATCCTGCTTAACCTCTAATAGTACCATAATTTTTTGCTCGTTGTGCACCTTCAGTTGAGAGGAAGGAGGGGATGGCGTATGCTGAGGGGCCTTACATTAAATAAAAATAGTAATATGACTGCATAATTATGTTCATGTTACATAGTGGGAGTTAACAAATGGACCTTACAGATATTTTAAGATCTTAGGGAAGAGGTCTTTATGCTTATTTTAATAATGGCAGAAGAAAACAAATCTAGCAAAGAATACACTGTTGATAAGCAACTGCCCTGTTTGTGCACATATTTTTCTCAGAGCCAACAGCAGGAGTGCCGAGGGCAGTCTCATCACTGGACCATCAGACGAGGGCCGCGTGCCGTTTGTGTGGTTGTAGTGCTGCTTGGAGGAGGGGATTCCTTTTTCTGGCGCTCTGACTAAGCAACATCTTGTCATTCCTTCTGCAGTTGCCAGTTTAAGGCCTATGGCTTCTAGATGCATGCAATTCTAGCTGGGCAAAGCCTTTACTTTTTTTTTCTATTTAAAAAGAAAAGCTTTATTAATATGTGTGTAGGTGTGTCTATTTTAATGTGGGGCTATGTGTAAAATGTTGGAAAAATGTGAGGTAGGTGTCACTTGAAATGCATAGTGCCAACCTTCCTTCTTGTTTTAATTTTCTTCAGTGCCAGATTTACACTTATCAACATTGTCTTTGATCTTGTCCGTTTAGAAGATATAAACAATCCCTATTTTTAAGTTAAGCTGTTGAAGTGATCGTAAGCCAAAACTGTGTTCTTTTGTGAGCTATAAAAAGTACGTGACTTTGTGCCTGTAATACACAGTGGCATGCATTTTGTACATGCAGTCAGCTCTGCAGAGATGAGAGTGGTTTAAACAACGGTTAGCCTATTTCTTCATACATAACTCAGGAGTCTTATTTAGTTTTTCTTGGAGACCTCTTTTGCAGCTTGGGTAACTTAATCATTGCAGAAAAGTGTACATAAAATTACCTGAGGTAGTAGATACACAAAAATGCCTGCATAGTTCTTTAGGAGGTTATGCAGTTAGAATTAGAGGCAATGAAAATACATTTAAATTTTGTATTAGTACACCTAGGTGCCAGATAAAACCCTCCAAACCACAAATACTGGAAAATGCGTTGTATTATCATTTCTATTAGTGTATTATCCCATCATGTCTGGCCAAACCAAAGAGAGGCTGACAAATACTTTTCATCCCAAATTCCAGTTCAGAATATACTTGGGTTTGAAGGATGCATGTATGTATCACACTTGTCAGGATTGAGAGGAAAACACATGTTTTGGGGGTTATATCTTATTTCTTTTAAGGTGCATGTCAAAAAAATTATGCTAAGTACTACCTAATTATACAAATACAGACATAAGTTTTGATTCTTTTTTTTTTCTTATTACAGCTATATATTTCCTTGCAAAAGTGCAAGTACATTTGCTTTCAACTGCATGGATTAATGGCAGAGTAGGGTAATGCAGATAAAAAAGAAGAGAAGTGGTTATAAAACATATGTAAATTAAGCTGCCCAAGCATATTTAGTACGTTCGCTCTGAAAAGCCTGTGGATACGTTTCCTGTAAAGAACAGGAGCGGCTTTGAACAGCACTTGGCAGTGAGGCCTTGTTCAAAGACCACATATTTTCTGTCGTGCACTATTTGATACGTAAAGTGAGTGCTGGTGATGAGCCAATGACAGATAATCAGGAGTTTACTGCATAATTATGTATAATATATGTAATTACTATATAACAGTCTCCCTTCAAAACAACTGTTGCAATGTTCTTTGTCAGTAATAAGCTAACAACTTGTTAATATCTATGGAAGGTACATATTTACCAAACTTCAAAATGTAGGTTCCAGTTACTCTGTGGCAATACATTTTATCTGTGTAGTAAAAGCAACACTATACAGCTGGTAAGTAGAAAGCTGCAACAGAAATTATAAGATAGAAGGCAGAAGAAAAATTTTAGTAGGGAAATCAGCAGGTAGCCTACCTGCTCAACTCTCTCAGGATAATGAATGCAATTCCAAGCAATTTTATATTCAGATCATCTTACAGGGGATTGTTGCTAAATAAAGTGGTAAGGAAAAAGTATAGTGAACAACAAGGACCAGTCTCTACAAGTCTGATCTCTAAAACAAACCACTGAATTTGTAGGTGTCTGCAGTGCAGAACTGGAAAGGAGACCCTTGTAAGAGTTGTAATGGTCCAACCATCTACCAAAAACTGGGGATGGTAAAGTTGTTGAAGTCCTACAGAACTGGAACAAAGGACCGGTTGTAGAAACTTGTGATTTTTAGTTCATGGTAGAAATGTTTCAGGTATAAACACTGGGAACACGGAGGAGTCAGTAACATTACAGGAAGAAAAATTAATTAAAAGCTGCACATTTAGCAGAATTAGAAACTGTTGCTAGCTTACCAACTCAGCTGTATTATGGCTTACAGTATCATACTGTTTGGTTTGGATTTTTTTAAATACTGCCTGTTGGTCTAAAAATGCTGTGTAAGAAATGCAACTCTTACTCATAAGATCTTATAGCCATAGTGTTTTGTGTGGTTTGGCAGTTTTGGGATTCTCAGAACCCTAGAAGCAAAATTATGAGGCCTTTGGTAGGAGAGCTCTGCCAGCAGAACGATGAAGACTGTAGTACCAAGACAGTGTATTATAGATTAAATGGATGTGGACTAGTGAGTTTTTTCGGGGAGTTGAGGAAAATCTTTTAAGAAGTGGTATATTAGAACCTCAGTGATCTTTCTCTGAATCTTTGTGGACATGCTGAACAAACCCAGCTTTTTTAAAAGTACTGCTTTTACTGAAATTGCATCTCTCTATAGTAAACACTTCTCTGACTTGATGTAATGAGCTTTTTCCTTTACATTCTCATAGTATCATAGTGAATAAATTGTCAAAAATAGCCTACTATTTCTGTTAAATTCTTTCTAGTACTTCAGGTCTGCACTTGAAATGACAGTGGGTGATTGCAGCTAGGAATCTGGTTTTGAAGGTGCCTGTTGTGATGCAAAGTATGGCTATCTTAGTAGTGAAGCGTTTCACATGCAAGGTTTGGGTTTCAGTTTCTTTTTACTTTGTTTTTGAAACTGATGAACGAACACTTGGGATTCTGGGAGTAAGACCTCTGTGTTTTAGGATGGATCACTCATCTTTTTCTTCTTTTTTTTTTTTTTCTTTTTGGTATGTTGTAGAAGGAGAAGGAGATGCACAACGAAATCCAAGTGAGCAAACCGGGGAGGCCCAAGGGGAGGCAGCAAAGCAAGAAAGCTGACATCCGACTTTGACCGACTGGAGCAGCTGCTGGATGTTTTCAGACTACGAGAGCATGCTGGAACAAATCTGTTTCCATGAGCAAGCTGGTGGAAAAGAAAGTGCATGTGTCTTCACTGCTGGAACCCACGCAACACAATGCTAAAAATGGGGGTACAAGCTGTGGCAGAAGACAGAATTTTCTCTACCTCTGTCATTAGCAATGGTTGAACGTGTATTGATTTTTTTGGGATAGTGTCATCAGATGGATCCCTTCATAATGACTACTTGATGGGAACACTTTTAGAAAGTAGAGCAGGTAAATCTTGTAGCAAATGGCCTTTGAAACGTCAGAGGATCTAATTGTGTATCTTAAGCAAAGGCTTGTGTGATCCTCAGAGTTTAAAATTCTCTGGCCAAAGTGTTCACCCATTAAAAGAACTGTAAAGAAAGCACTGTTTTTAGAACTTTGCATCTGTTTTACAGCTCTGTTATTTACAATGGTTTTTGTATTGTACGACTTAGATGCTCCACACTGCCCCTTCTCAACTGCTTATGAAGAATATTTCTGTTACTGTGAATTTTTCTACCACGCGTTTTGAAAGGGCTGGTTTTTTGCATAATGTGGTGATGTGCACATGATAGATTTAAAACGTCAACCGCTAAATTGATTATGCCTAAACCTAAACGACTCAGCAACACTCTAATTTGTTACTAGACGAGCCTTCAAAACAATTTGTTAATGTGAATACTTCAGCGTGTTTTGTGTCCTTGGTACAGTTTTGCCACTTGCCTGTAGTTAGTTGCATATCAGAGACTCAAATTGAATCTTTTATGTTATTTTTCCCCGTTTTTCTGATTTTACTCCCAATTTCTTAATCTTTCTCCAAGATATTTTTTTAAAATGTTAGTCCAAGTATTTTATTGTTACGGTAGTTTTAATAATACATTTATAACCTTACATGGGTTAAAATACAAAGAAATTCCGTGGTGCTAGAGATTTTCCTGGTTCACATTGTTAAAGACGGGCCCTGTTTACACATGTTAAATAATTGGAATAGGTTATTGCCAGTTACATATTCTGGAATGAGTGTTAGGTTGCAGGATAGTGGATCCTGCCAAGGGGGGCTGTTTTTTCTATCCCTTGCCTTTGCCTCAGTTGAGCAGGCTGTTGAGTTTGCACACCAGTAGCCTGTTACTGATGCACCTGGTACGGCCAAGCGTCAGAAGCTGCTACAGCAGTCTTTTGGCTTGGAGGTGGAAAGGGAAGCAAGAGGCTTCGTGTCTAGCACCCAAAAGATTGCATTTTCCCCCCGTTTCAGCTATTCCAAAATGACAGTCCATACTGGGCCTTCATCAAAATACCAGGATAGCTTGTCCTCCCAAGGGATTACTTAAAATATCTACAAATTAATAACCTATTCTGCAGTAGCTATGCTGATTGATTTCCTTCCCCCATCCTGCCCCAAAAGACAAGGCCATACGCGAGGCGGAGTGTTGCCGAACGGGGCAGCCGCACCTCTGTGTGACTGAGGTGAGTGAGGAGAGCGACTGACTGGTAAACCATGGCTATCGCATAAGCACCAATCACAAAGTCAGAAGATCTGTTTTCTCTTATTAACAGGAGGTGATGTCACTTTCTTT